GCGCTACGCGCAAGCAATTTCGCAAAATTTTTCGAAAAAACCTTAGGCCTAAGTAGTAGGCATTTTAATAATTATTTGTTTTAATTTAGTATTAAATAAGCTAGTAGAAGAGACGTGGCATTTCGGCTAATTTTCGGCGTTCTAAGTTCGGCTTATTTTGCTACTCGCGTAGGTAGAGTGCCGCTAATAGGCTGCCAATTTCTAATTATGTTTCTTGTAAGTAAAAAGCTTTGCTTTGTTAAGTTTTTAATATACTTTATAAGTAATAGCTCCTGTTGTAGGCTAAAAAGCAGCTAGTTGGTTTTTTAAGTGTCTTTAGAGTCTTGACAGCTTTAGTGCCTTCGCGACAGCGTACTGCGCTGCACACCAAACTCGTCGGCAATTGCTTAGTATGTGAAATGTTCTCTATGTTCGCGCGATTCAATTGCTGCAATCGCATTATCAATTGGTGCCATAGTAGTTGAGTTATCGCGTGTTGGAGTTTGGGGCGCGTCTGTTGTTTTGAAGTTCGACCGTGCGCCGCGCCGATCCGTGCGTCGCGCCGACGTACACGTTACCGGAGTAGTAATCATCAGTTCGACACATGACTGTGAGAATGTCGATCAATTGAGGATTAGCTCCACTGGCCAGCCACGTGCCACCCTTTATTTGTGATTCTGGTATTTTTCCGGAGGTAGCTCTTGAATATCAATCACGGATAGCTGGTAAAGATCTATTGCTCTGCCTGCCCGCGTAAAGGCGCAACCCAAGAGCTTGGAACTCCGCCTCAAACATGGCGACCGCACGCCGCCCGGAGTCTGAGCTGCCCTCGGCAGCGCTCGTGGCGGCGGTCACCCGTCATTATAGCCACGCAGGGAATACAGCCACGCACGAGGAGACGGCTGCACGAGTTTTCATGGTTGCCTATCCCATACTCCGTGCAATTTCGAACAACATGATTATTTTGGATCGCTATAGAGGATTCGACATAGGCGCGCGCCGCAAAAGGCAGCCACAGATTGTCTCTTGAGATTCGGGAGTCGGAACCAGTAGTTGCAAAGCATAACGTAAACGATCACCGAGTGGCCGGAAATCTCTTGGCACAACCAACTCATCTCGAAGAACATCAAATTAATCGCTATCAAACAAGGAACCTGCGTACGTCGTGCTAGCCCCAGATTCAGAAGCTTCTTCTGTATCCTTTTGACAGGTTCGGGCATTGTGATCGCGCATTAGCTCAACCTGATGGGCCATCTGGTGGGACCCTTTGACAAGCTGGTTAACCCCATCTTTTAGAGATAATGGAGAGGAACCAAGCTTAGTAGTAATAAGCTTTAATTGCGATCCAAATTCAAGCGTATTGCTTGGAGTCTTTGACTGCCATGGCGTCTCTGGTCCGGGGAGTGGTGGCGGGGTACACAGCCGTACGATCAAGGACCATCTGCGCGTTGATAGGGACTAGCCCTGAGGCCTCAAAGGCCTTATTGCAGTTCTCCATCGTAAACACGTCAGAAAACGCGTCTTTGAAGGCTGAGAGAAAGCTTTCTTTGTTAATATAGAAGACGCGTCGGCGCGCCAAGCCCCGAATGCGCTGGGAATACTTCAGCTTCAACGGCGCAAAACAGACCACATCCAAGGGCTGCAGGATGTGTGATGAATGGGCCGGCATGCAGAGTGTTAGGATATTGTGCTCCAGGCAGTAGTCCTTAAAATCCTGAGACCGGGGGCTTTCGTGACCGTGCAAAATAAGCAGCTGGTAACCCCCTACCTTACGCGCCACTGTTTGCGCGTCAAAGTGCTTCAACCACGCGACTCCAAGCTTGTTGTTTGTCCAACCGTTCTCAGAGACTGAGATCTTCCAATCGCGCGGTATAGGTACCGGCCTCTTCGTACCACACAGAGATATGTACGCGTCCTTTGTAGATATCAATAATAAAGGGCGGGGTCGCGTACCCTGCAGCGCAGATACTCTGGACAACCGTCACCTACTCTCGGTCACCGGGCTGAATGAGCTCAGTCGTGTACGTCTCTCTGCGCCAGTAACCACCTTCATAGACCCAATAACGCCCATCTGGAACCCAGTCTCGTCGAAGTTGTGGATGTCCTCCGGGTGGGCGCCGTATTTGGCTATTGTCTCCCCAACCAACGTAAACCACGCGCCAATAACATCTCGACGCTCATCCAGCAGTGGGTCATATCCAGCCTCGAAGAACCTCTGGGTCTTCCTGCTGTATCCTTTGGCGATCCTTTGCCCGATTGAACGTAGTTTTAAGCTCAGCCGAACGCGTTACAAGGCGTTCTGGCCAATTCTTGCCTACTAGCTTCCCACCGCGCGCACCTAGTGGTTTGTCTGCCATATCTCCCACCACACACAGCTGGGGGGCAAATCCTCGCGAATCAAGGTCAAGTATACATTGAACGATCGTCTGCTCTTCGGGTAAGGTGAGCTTAAGCTGAGGGTGGCGCAAATCTGGCTTAAAAGTGATTCCGTTGTATCGGTCAGTGACCGTCGACGACGGTACATTAAAGGCGGCAGCGGCGCGTCGGAGGCTTTTGAATTGGCGAGACTGGTACGCAGCAAGGGCAAGTTCGATTCTGCCTTCTCTGTTAGCTGCTATCGCGAGGCATGTCGCGTTGAATGAGAAGTTGGTGGTGCCAAGCAAAACTGACTGGGTCAGTGGTGTGACCGGGTCAGTGGTGGAATACGTTATTCTGGATTTGTGAGAGTTTGGCGACAACCTGCTGAAAAGCACCTTGGTAGCGCTATCCGGCGTAGGTAGAAGGGCTACTCTGAATTTGTTGAATGGACTCTGCAGCTAGCTGATGGTAGGATTGACACGCCAAAGGCAAGAGGTAGAGGGTTGTACGGTGTACACAGCGTACGGAGGAAAGGGGGTTGATACAATGGTATTCGTGGTGTTGCACGCTATTCTATCTACGTGCGGATGGGACGGAAGACTCTGCAGCTGCGCACGGGCGTTACGTAAGCAGGCTTACATAACGCAGAGCCGCATAAAGTCTCAACCGTACGGTGTACGGACAGAATTCATGTTTTGTGGCTGTTTTTCCTACTACAAGAAAGGTCCTTGCCACATCTATCATACAGAGACTCTAGCACAGAAAAAGGCAGCTGAAAAGGAGATTGCTACGTATAATAAGGAGTGGGAGGCTCACAAACGTGAGGAGTGGGAGTTAACTACTGCTATGAGGCGTGTGGGCCTCCGGAAAAAGCCAGGGCCTAAACCTCAGTGGAATTGGAACAAGGAGAATGGAAGTTGGTGCGTACTGAGGGCAAAGGGGGCATTGATTGGTGGCGCTATATTAGTGAGGTCCTTAAGCCTCATCTTATTCCCTTTGCAAAGGAGTGCTGTACTACTATGCCTCATACAATCGTACAGGAGGATAAGGCGCCTTCACATGCCCACTAGTTTCAGGAGCAGTTCTATCAAATAGAGGACGTATAGCGGCTTCTTTGGTACGGCAATTCACCTGATCTCAACGCAATTGAAGCTGCCTGGCCATGGCTACAGCGACGTACCACTGGAAAAGGCGTACCTGATAGCGCTAAAAAGATGGAGGCTTTTTGGAGGCACTGGTGGGGAGAGCTTGAACAGTGGAGGATCCAGAGATGGATTGAGAGAATTCCACGCCAAATACAAAATATACTAGAGCTCTACGGTAGCAATGAGTATCAAGAAGGACGTTTTGATAAAGTAACTTCACACGCAAAGGGACCTACTGATAGCGAACTACTACGAAAAGAGCCTATAGCAACTACTACATCATCTACTACATCAGAATGAGGCATGGATGACCCACCAAACAGGCGCCGCTATGGAGATTTTCGAGATGAGCTGACGTGGAGCGAATTAGAAGAATTTGAAGGTGACGGCGATAATTCAAGCAGCTGGGGCTCAGGTGTGGACGCTGATGGCGAAACAGATGATAGTATTCAGTAGCAGAGACAAATTGAGGTCGATTTTGTATACATTATACAGTGTTTTAAGTCGTCGCTGTTGAGGAACATTCACATTTGGGCAGCATCTCGGAGCTCTATTGATCCGAGCCGGCCGCTATGACCCCTGATCGGCGCGCATTGACCAGGTCCATTCATTTGGGAAGCACCTCCGTACCTAATTCAGTTAACTAGTGGATAACTAGCTCATAAGTCATAACGTACCTTTGTAGGTACTTGCGCCTTATTATGGAAGTCCGGATCTCCAAAACGAAAGGGAATGCACTGGTAATCGAATCTCGAAAGCGGGAAGTCGATTGAAAGCCGCTGGCCAAGAAGATCTCGCCGCACGCTGCTCTAGCAGCACCAGGCAGTTACGTCGCATTACAATATCGAGTCATCACAAGCTGCGTGGGCATTCCAAATGAAATTCAATGCTAGCCAATGATTCACGCGCGCGGCTGCTTCTCGGATTCCGAAAGCTGGAAACTGGAGTCTGAAATAAGAAGCACGTCTGGTGGCGTTACCCAACTCTGAGAACAGGCCAAGTGATCTGGGCTTTCAGCCTGGCTGTAGACATGCAATCCTATCCAATCATAACTCAAGCATTTGGAGGGACGCTGCGACGAAGTCTGTTTTGGTTAGCCGTTACATAATATGATGCCCCAAAACCGCCCTAAGTCATCTCAGCGTGCTCAGACGTCAAGCAAGAAAGCACTAGACAGCGCACAGATCGCCGTGCATGGGACCAATACTATATAGGCGATAGCTGATACAGACCCCTGCTAATCCCTGCTAACTACTCACTTTCTTGCTTGACTTCTGATCCATTTACGAACCTTGATTGGCTAGCATATTAGCTTGGCAACACTAGGTGCACGGTTAGCATCGTCAGACGCTAACCTTACTAAATACAGCTAGTAGATCTCAGAATCAGGGATCAGAAGGCCACAGTTGAGTAAGATTCTGTGTGCGAGAAACGAGTTCTTACGTTTGCCTTCTGAAATTCCGACTTCCAGTAGATATATAGTAATTGCGCAGAAGTTAATGGTATAATAAGATTATTGGGCTTGTGGTCTAGTGGTATGATTTTCCCTTAGCATGGGAGAGGTCCGGGGTTCAAGTACGTTCCACACCATATCTTGAGTAGCATGATTACTAACAGCACAACAGTTCCCCGCGAGTCCAACCAAATTTTTTGGCGATTTTTTTTATTAGTTTGTATTTTTGGTGACAGATAAGCGGAACTACAGTGTTTCTCTAACTTCAGAGGGCTGCAGCGCAGCGAGTCTCTACCTAAATGTCCTAATTTTTGTAACGTAATCCACCACTAAGTGGAACACTCTACTGAGTGGAACAAAAAGCCTTGGCATAACCAACTTATGTTACGCATCTTCAATTTCATCGCTATCAAACAAGAAGCCTACGTACGTCGTGCTAGCATCTAATTTAGAAAATGCCTCTGTATTCTTTTTGCACGTTCGCGCATTGTGCCCAGTTCCGCCGCAGTTCCTACAGCGCCGTAGAGCTAGTTGAGCTCGTTCTTGATTACTACTACTACGAGCTTTCTTTGATCGCTGAGGTCCTGCAGACGCTTTGGCAGCTACCTGCGCTGCAGCACTTCTATACTCCATAGTACCACCTTGCTAGATTTGCTTCCTTTTGCGCGATTTTCGCTTAGTTATTTCTGCTAGTTGCTCTTTAAGCTCTCTGTTGCGGGCAGCAAGAAGCGCGTTTTAGTGCAGCATCAGCTTACTACCTTTTATAAGCTAAGAGAAGCTTGCCTAAGCTGTAACAAGTAATTGAGTAAAAGACTTGCGTACAAGCTTTGACTAAGATCTAAACTCGTGCGTATTGCTTGGTGTTTTTGACTGCCACGGCGTCTCTAGTGCGAGGGGTAGTAGCGAAGTACACAGCCGTACTTTAAGACGATTAAGGACTACCTGCGCGTTGATAGGAACTAGCTTTGAGGCCTCAAAGGCTTTCTTGCAGTTCTCTGTTGTAAACACCTCGAAAAACGCGTCTCTAAAAGCTAGCAGGAAGCCTTGTTGATATGGAAGACGCGCCGGCGTGCCAAGTCTCTAACACGCTAAGAGTACTTGCGCTTCAACGGCGAGAAGCAGACTACGTCAAGTAGCTAAAGAATGTGCGACGAGTAGAGAGGCATGCAAAGAGTTAGGATCTTGTGTTCAAAGCAGTAGTCCTTGAAATCCTAGTTGAGGTAGCTCTCATGGCCGTCTAGAATAAGCAGCCGGTACAGTGCCCGTGCACCTCGTGCACGGTTTCGGGTCGTGCACGATTCTCAAAACCAACACCTAAACTTTACCTTACTATAATTCAACAACTACAATAGCTATGGATAAAGCGCTTGCAGCTATCAACGCGCTAAAACTAGAAGAAAAACTTGTATATAAAAAAATTGCTGATAAATATAGTGTTAATCGCACAACGTTGTTGCGCTGCTATCGCCTAATTACGCGCCTACGCAACGACGCGTACAACAACATGCGCGCACTCAACGTACAGCACGAAGCTAAGCTTGTCAAATATATTAAAAGCTTTACAAAAAGACGCCTACTACTTACAAAAGCAATAATACAATTATACGCTTCTAAGCTAGCAAAATAGAACGTTTTTAAGAGCTAGGTTACGCGCTTTCTAGAGCGCAATAAAGATAACTTAATATCTTGCTAGGCACTTGCTATGGATTCTGTACGCTACAACGCTAATTCCTCTAAAAAATACAGCTTGTATTTTCAACTACTCTAAGAGAAAGTTACTTAGTACGATATCTAGCCTTAGAATACTTACAATATAAATAAAAAAAGCTTCGCAATTAAAGTGCTTGCAAAGTTAAAAAGAATTTTTAGCAAAGAGGCTTATACACGTAAGCGTGTAAACTTAGCTCTCTAAAATAGCTTTTGTAAGTAGATAACGCTATTAGCGTTAATTTGCGCTAATAGCACTGCGCTGTTGCTAGCTATTATCTATTTAGCTGCTAAAGAAAACGTACAAGCTAGCTAGGTTGAGAATATCAAGCCTAGCATCTATACAGTACATTTCACGACTTCTCTATTAGGCTAGACAAACAATAAAATAAGCTTTGCGTAGCTAAAACAAGTTTTTAATTGCTATACAAAGCAGAAAGCACGGCGGAAATAGCGATTACTTATTATTAACAAGCACAGCAGCTATGTAACGATTAATTTTATCAACTTCTGCAATAAGAATAGAATACTACTTTGTATATTTCTTTCGCATTCAACTTATACGCTGCAACTACTAGATGTTAAATGCTTTAGTTTACTAGTATTTAACTATAGTTAAAAGCTTACAAAACACTTCTATACATCGCTTAAATAGATTCTAATTAATAAAAGCTACTTTTTTTTATTATTCTAGGGCGCCTAGAGCTCTACATTCAACGAGAAGCTAATACTTAGCTCGTTTAAAGCTACTAGCATATCGCTACTTAATCTAAACAGAATACTCAATAGGTTTAGGCTATCAACACTAAATAGCTTAAAATCGTTAGAATTATCTACTTTAGTCTACTTAGAAAGCGATTGGCAGAAAATAGAAACGTTAATTAATAGATCTGCGAAGGATACGCACTCTAGGAAAACGCGCAAAGTAATAAAAACTCTTTACTACTTTGTAGCTTAAAACGAGCTTCTACACTATAAAATAGCTGCTATAAAAAAAGCTTTACAGAAGAAAAAGCAGCGCTTTACAAAGCGTAAAGCTTTACTTTTACAGCAGCATTAAGAGTATTATAAAAGTACTATTTTCTAGTTACCTCGTGCTAAGAGAGAAGCAAAGAAACGATATAAGATTTTTTAACGCTTTGCACATAAAGAAAAGCTTGCAAAAGCTAATAAAAAAAAGCTTTAAAACAATAATAAGCTACTTAAGAAAAAGCTTGTAGAAAAAAAGCGTGTAGCGCGAAAAGCAGCTAAGTTAGTGCAAAAAAAAGAAAAAGCTAAGAAAGCTAAACAGGCAGCTGCGCGCGCACAAGAAAAATAGCGCCAAAAAGAGAAAAGAAACGCTTAAAAAGCTTTATAGTTATTTTAAAAAAGCAAGAAAGTAGCTTTAAAGCTTTCTATTAAGCAGAAAAAGCGTACGCGTCGTGCTAGAAGTGCTAGAAATAGTAAGTTGTCTAATGTAGCTGCGCTAGCTGCAGCGCCTACTGTTAACTCTCGCAAGCGCAAAATTACTCGGCTAGCTAGGTATATATAGAGTTATTTTATTGCAAAGATCTATAGAGTACTCTACTAAAAAATCTTTGCGATAATATTATTTGTACGTGGCTCTAGAGCCTTATATCTAGAATAGCTATTATTTTCGAAAATCGTGCACGACTCGAAACTGTGCACGAGGTGCACGAGCACTGTATACTTCTACCTAGCGCGTTTTTGTATGCGCGTTAAAGTGCTTTAACTACTCTAGACCTAAAGCGTTGTTTGTCTAGCTATTTTTAGAGACTAAGAGCTTTTAATTGCGTAGTATTAAAGCTTTTTCGTACTACGCTAAGATGTAGACGCGTTTTTTGTAGATAATAAAAAGCGAGATTGCGTACTCTGCGGCGCAGATGCTTTAAATAACTATTACCTACTCTTAATCGCTTAGCTGGATAAAATTAGGTTGAGTACGTTTTTAAAAGCTTGTAACAACTTTTATAGAGCTAATTACGCTTATTTAGAAGCTAGTCTTGTTAAAGTTGTGCACGTCGTTGTCGTAAACGCTGTACTTAGCTTTAGTATTCTTTACTAGCTTAAACTACGCGCTAATTATCTCTAGATTCTTCTAGAGTATTCTCTGCCTATTTTTGGCTCAATTGAAAGCTATTTTGAGCTTAAATAAACGCGTTACGAAGCGCGCAGGCTAGTGCTTGCTAACTAGCTTACTATTACAATCTAGTATTACAACTAAGCTTAGCGCGAAGCGCTTAGGTTATAAGCTACCAATAGAGTTACACAGCAAGCTAATCGAACCTTAGTTACGTAACCGCTTACTAATAAGCGCTTAAGAACGAGCGCGCTTAATAGTAAGCGCTTAGCAACGAGCACTGCTTAATAGTAAGCGCTTAAGAATAAGCAAAGGACATTCTCTAAGTATATAGACTACGAGAAACAACGCACTTTTACAGTCGTTGTCTTTAATTTTACAATCTACAAGTTAACTTTTACTTTGACTTTTATACTCTTTGCAGAACGAAGCTTGCTACTACTTTAGTATTAAACGCTACACAACTCCTTTTGGTCTATCGAACTTACTCAATCCCCAAGAACCAACCAAAGCTTAATAAAAGACTTTTTCAAGTCCGCTTAGCCTTTACATATTGAAGACCTCTAAGATAAGTAATACTTTAATAACTACTTCTCTTTATACTCGCACCGGCGGTACGAAAGTAGCGAAGCCTAACTTTTACTATAGAGATTGCTTGAAGCTAGAGAACTAGTTACTCTAGTTCGACTTCTTTTTCAAGTTCGAAGATAACTATGTTGACGACGTTGACAAGGCATTTCTAATAGCTTTCTACATAAAAGGGACAGCTCTTAAGTAGGTTTAACTCTACTTAAAAAAGTACCTAGATAGCGACAACGACGAAGACATAATTACACGTATGTTCAAAAATCGCGCTGTGTTTAAAAACAAGCTGCGACAATTTTACGCGATCGCCAACAAACCCGCTATCGCAGAAAGAACTATTTAACGAATGCGCTAGACTAAGTTAGCTAGAGACTACGCTAACCTGTTTTAACAGTACTCTATTTAGACCGACTAGAACGACAAAGCACTTATGCGCATGTACAAGCAAGAGCTGAAAGATAACGTTAAAGCAGAACTAATGCGCTCTAGAGCAGCTACAGACACCTTAGACAACTTGATTAAAGAATTAATCCGCTTCAACAATAAGTTGTACGAACTCGCAATTGAAACGCGAGCCGAAGCAAGGTTCTACGCACCAAAGAGCAACAGGAGTTATACACTCAACACTAGCTAGCGCTAAGTGCAAACTTAACACTCGCGCCTAGCAAGCGTATACAACTTAGCTTAAAAATACGAACCTATGCACTTTAACAACCTCAACAAAAGCAAACTAATTAACAAACAATCAAAGTATAGCAAGGAAAC